AGTCACGTTTTTCATTTATCCACCAAGAAACAAGTCAGAGTGACTTCAGGAGTGGGGCCCTCATGTGGCCTACTGAAAATGGGAGAGAAAGGCATTTTCCTGGATTGATCAGACTCTTGGCCAGTGATGGTGAACCTTTTGAGCTCGGCGTGTCAGCATTTTGAAAAACCCTAACTTAACTCTGGTGTCGTGTCACATATAGAAATTTTTTGATATTTGCAACCATAGTAAAACAAAGACTTATATTTTTGATATTTATTTTATATATTTAAATGCCATTTAACAAAGAAAAATCAACCAAAAAAATGAGTTCGCGTGTCACCTCTGACACGCGTGTCATAGGTTCGCCATCACTGCTCTAGTAGATAGACCTAAAGAGCCATGAGCACGTGTGGAACGCAGCAAGTGCCCTCAGAAGCACCTGAAGGAAATTTGACAAGCGCAGCACACCCTCTTGGGGACAGGAGAAGGCCTCACACACATGAGGCAGTTGAACCGAGGGTTAAAGAACAGATTGGCAGTCACCAGTTGGAGAAGGAGAGAAGAGCATGCAGCAGAGGGAGCAGGGCGGGCAGGGACATGGAAGTCAGGGGAGCTGTGAGTTTAGAGGCTGACGAGTTCAGTTTGGCAGGTCTGGCCGCTTCAGGGAGGACTTTAAATGCCATGCTAAGAAGACTGACCTTCTGCTGAGTGCAGCAGTGGAGAGATGGGAAAGATGTGTCAACATTCTCCACTGCGAGACTGAGTCTGCAACCTGATCAGACAGCCAGTGGGAATGAATACCCCATTCGGGGGTGCCGGTATTGATTTAACGAAAAAGTGATGCTGTGAGAAAATTAATTCAGTGGTAATGTTCTGGATATATTGGAGAGGGGAAGGAAAAGAAGGAAGACTTTTCAAAACAAAACCATGAGAAAAGGAGAAAGAAAGGGAAACTTGCTGTACACATGCGATAGCTGGGCACTCTGCCTGTTACTACCAAATATACCATTTCACTAAAACCTCACAAAGAGAGAGACTGTTCTGGTTCCCACGGAGTAAACAGATGAGTAAACTGAGTCTCAGGTAGGTCAAATACCAATAGCCAGAGCTGCCATTAACAGCAGTGTTTCCACAAAATCAGGCTCTTTGAAGTGGTAGTAGCAACACGAGTACAGGGAAGGAATGTCTCTGAAGGCTCCGCAGAGGCCAGATCAATAGTGTTTGTGAGGGAGCCAGCACGCAGCCCGCAGCGCAGAGGATGGCCGAAGAGAGCCAGATGGAGCAGTTAACTGAAATGGAGATCTGCCAGAGAAAGGAGTTTGTGGAGAAAAATGGAGTATTATTATCATTACTACTGTTACAAATGATGTACCCTCACAATATCAGCAGTTGAAAAGCAATGGCTAAATTTAATAAACACTTGTTATACACCAGGCACTCTACTACATGCTGTGTGTGCATTATTTCTTGTTAGATAATACTTCGTTTAATTCTCAAAACTGCTTTGCTCTTGCTTTAGAGAGATTAAGGAACATGCCTGAGGACAGCACTTTTCACAGTGGGGTCCACCATCCTCTTACAGGTCCCCAAGACTCTTTCGGGTGCCCAGGTTGGCAAGGTCAAACCTTTTATGACAATACTGAAGCACTTGCTTTTTTTTTCTGTGTTGGTGCAAGAGCATCAGTGGGTGAGAGTGCCTCCTGCCTTAGCACTAATCAAGGTGGTGGCAGCAAAAAAGGCCAAGTGGCAAAAACGGCCAAGTCCACTTAGGAAGATCCTTGATGAAGCATGCACATTATTAAATGTATTAAATTGCACCCTTGAGCACACATCTTTTTTAAATTGTGTGAGGCAAAATGAGGTGTAGCATAAAAGTCCTTACGCTGTGTATCAAGCTATGCATATCAAGAAAAAGCACTTGTGTGAGTGCTTGAGTTGCAACCTGAACTAGCTGAGTCATTTGTGTGTGTTTTTCCACAGTTAATAGAAACACTGGCAGACAAACTATGGTTATTCAGCATTAAGAACTGGGCTAATACACTGTAAGCAGAAGGAAGGAAATAACAAAGATCAGAGCGGAGATAAATGACATAGAGACCAAAAAAACAATACAAAAGATCAACAAAACCAAGAGCTGGTTCTTTGAAAGGATAAACAAGATTGATACACCTCTAGCCAGGCTCACCAAGAAACAAAGAGAGAGGACCCAAATAAACAAAATCAGAAATGAAAGAGGAGAAATAAC